AGAAAATAATTAAAATGAATTAAAAGTGATAAATATGTCGGAAATGATTTTTTTTCCCTTCAAAGTATGCCTTTAAAGAGCAAGTAGGGGAGAGAGAGAGAAATAGACTGTAATGAAAGAGAAAGTATGAAAGAAATGTAATATGCCAGGTTAAATGTTCAGACAGCTATAATTAAGATGTTATATAAATGATGGAGGAACTTGGAATTACAAGCTCTTGCAAAAGGTACATGTGAGTATTATTCAAACGTTATGAATAAAGTAACTTATTTTCCCTGTGTGAAATTAGAAATTAAACCAACTAGTGTCCACCGATGAAAGCAGAAACATTAATTGAGCAGGCCGGTCGATGACCACTAACTTGTTGCGGTATGGACGCAAGTTGCAGCTATTCCTCAGACTTCCCTATAAAATCCCCAACACAACTTCTCAAATCAAATCATCAGTAAACACCTTATTATCCTTTCAAGAGCTCCAAAACACAACCATGGCCCGACGCTTCATCCATGTCTTCTCTTCGCTTCTCGTGATTCTCCTTGCAGCCAGTGAAGGCACCCAAGCTGTCGAATACACCGTCACCAACACCGCCCTCGCCACCCCCGGCGGTGTCGCCTTCCGCGACAAAGTAGGGGACGCCTACGCCAAGCAAACAATGGACTCTGCAACGCAATTCATATGGAGGATCTTTCAGCAGCAGAATTCTCCTGCAGACAGAAAGAACGTGCAAACGGTTAGCTTGTTCGTGGAAGAAAAAGATGGAGTGGCATATGCTACAAACAACGAGATTCATCTCAGCTCGAGATATGTTGGAAACTACAACGGAGATGTGAGAAGAGAAGTAACTGGTGTGCTGTATCATGAGATGACTCACATATGGCAGTGGAATGGGAATGGCCAGGCTAATGGAGGGTTGATCGAAGGGATTGCTGATTATGTAAGGCTCAAAGCTGGCTATGCGCCGAGCCACTGGGTGCAACCTGGTCAGGGAGATAGATGGGATCAAGGCTACGATGTTACTGCTCGTTTTCTGGATTACTGTACCAGTCTGAGAAATGGGTTTGTGGCAGAACTGAACAAGATGATGAGGACTGGTTATAGTGACGACTACTTTAGGCAGCTCCTTGGGAAGCCTGTGGATCAGCTGTGGAGAGACTATAAAGCCAAATATGGCAATTAGGAAAGTGTTCTAATAGTGGGAAAATAATAAGAGCTTATTATTAGTTTAAAGAATAAGATGACACATAAATGCAACTGTATCACTGTTTATCTGCATGACATGAATGCATGATATTACTTCTTATAATTAATGGAAATGTCGAACATATAATGTTGCTTCACTTGACTAAGCTTTTCTGGAAAATTGCCAAGTTCAAGTTTCAACGTATGTATTATTCGGTTCTAAATATAATAGCTAGTTGACTAATTTGAGCAGATTAAAGAAATAAGTTAAGTTAGTTATTTGTGATAAATATATGTTGTCTTCCCCAAAATATGTTTGTTAATCATGTTTATTGGTGATAACTACCATTATTAAAAAGACTATCTTAAAAAAAATAAATAGATATGAGAGATAAAATGGATTAGGGTCTTATATTTAAGACCAAAATAAAATTCAAATGAAATTTTATATTGAGGATCGGAGATAGTATTATACTCCTCTGGTCCTTAATATAAGACCCATTTAATTAATTTGATTAGATTAAGGAAGTTAGGTAAGTTAGTTAATTATAAGAAAAGTGACACATTTTTCCTCAAACACCATAATCATTTTTCTTAATATCTCATCTTCCTCTTCTACTTGATTATGGTTGAAGGAGTATCCATAACGATAATTTAAAAAAAATTAATAAATATGAAAAATGAGTCTTATATTTAGGATCAAAACCAATTCAAGGATTGGATTCTATATTAAGGACCGGAAGAATATATCAATATCATACCATTTTAGTAAAGGATGGAGAGATTTGAGAGCATTGATCATAAAAAATCTGGATTGTCGTTTTGTGTTGAAACAAACACCACCTTTGATCTTAAGGAGAGATTATCAGTACCAGTCACTGTCTCTAGTCCATTATATATGTGGGCGGGCGAGCATGGTGATTCTAAAAATAAACATTTTTCAGAACTTTCAGAGACGTCAAATAAGACCAGATCAAATGAGCTGCCCAAACCTGAAAGCAAGCTGCCAAGGGATGAAGAAAGGACCTTGCATTTATTGTGTTTTTTTGTCATTGGTGTCCTCTTGAATTTATAATAGGTTGCTTTTCTTCCAAGCAAGCGTAAAATATCCCACAAGTTTTCGGGTAAAATTTTTAGAAATATTACATCACGTCTGCACCTGCGTTATTCTCTCAATTAGAGGGTCTGATCTAATCAGTTGGCGTTTTAATATTTTTTTTTATAAAATAATGATTAAGTAAGCAGTTTGTTTGGTGAAAACTTAAAAAATAATACGCTTTCTATTTTTAACTAGTTATCACTTATTAAATTTTAAAATTAAATCATTGGAATAAAAATTGCCATTGTCCTAATATAAATATATCATCAATATCCAACAATATATATATATATATAATTTATAGTTTGACTTATCAAAGAATTTGGAGTAATTGTTTGTTGACTTGTTCCTTTATGCTGTAATCCTTGACTTGGACTTGGACTTGGACTTGGACATGGACATGGACATCAGTTCCGTCTTTGCTTGATACCCTGGAAAAAAAGGGGACGGCTATATTAAGAGTGCTGTCTGATTGACTTGATAAACCTTGTGGTTCTAGAACCTACAGTACCTAATTACGTTGATTAAAATTGATCTTAAATTTATATCCGCAGAAATGAAGTTTTATATCAGTAATAATGACTAATGATGACGCTGTTTGTGATGGTCTTTTGTTTTTGATCGGAACTTGGGAGATCCTATTCTTACGTTTTCAAAACTTGCCACTCCGAAGGACATAGAATCATCACAAGCAACTTCATCATTAATCACAGCTAAGATACTAATTTGTTTTTACATTCAAGATCGAGATATAATAGAGAATTAGAAAGATAGAAGGATTTCTGTTCTGCTATTTTGTTAATGTTCTAGCTGTCTAGCAAGAGTTTAGTATCCAGGAAGAGTGAAGACAACAAAGGTTCTGATCACTTCACAAATATTCTCACCAAACGGATTCTTGCATTCACATGAACTGACAATAAAAATATAAAGGATGACAGTAACCTTGCTGCGACCAGCTAGAATTCAGCCTTTCTATATGCATAGCAAAAACTAAAAAGGATAGATCTTTAAGTGATACAAACACAGGAGTTATTTACATCATTGTGGTGAAATTTAAAATAAGAATCTCTGATCTTTGGTCGTACCTTATCATTATGGCAGAACCAAATCCAAAAGTTTCATGAAACTGATCTGCCGCGTAACTCTTCTGCAAATGATGTTGAGCTTAAAAATCGACGGAAGATAGTACTTCACCAGTGCCCTTTTTATGGTCCTCAGTGAATTCGTAGTGGAAATAATTCCAAGCGCCTTCAAAATTGCCTTAAAAATCCACTCCCTATACTCTAATAAGCAACTGCTATAACTTGACTGGGGGGAAAATTCCATCTTCATAAAGGTGAAGATAACACAATGAATGAACACTGAAGTGGCAGCCAAAGAAGAAATCAAAGTAAGTTGCAACCAAGCCATGTTGCTGGAGTTCGATTGGAAGAGTCCACAGTCATCTGAAAGCCAAGAAAGCACATTGATTCTGAACCTGATATTATAAAACAATATCCCCAGGATTGCTGTAGGTTCCCATAAACCCAGAACGAAAATCCAATTAAGAGCACCAATTTATTTGCTGGACTTTTCTTTTCTTTTGTCTTTTTCTGGTGAGGTGAAGAATTAACTCCAGTGAAATATCAATCCTTGAAAAACATAATCAGGTGCGAAACAGCAGAATGCATCATGTTCTTCGCTGCCCTGACCAAAATTTTCAGTTATTCGCCTTTTCCTGGTCTATGTACAGTTACTCAGGAAAACCTAAATCGGTGCGGAGAAATTCGAAGTAAAGACGGAGTCTGTCAGTTCAGAGATGGATTTGAGAAAAAAATTTGGACCATTTCTCGATTTGTGCGTGTCATCCTTGCGCAGGGGCCATGCTAATCTTCTCTGTATCGTTCCAATTTTATCGGATGTCCCCGAAGGGACGAACTCTCACCTCTGCTTCATCTATATAAAGAATGAAACTGAAAGAATTTGCGCGATGTGGGACTCGTGCTGAAGCAACTCCATAGCTGGTAGAAAGTTGTGCCCAACGTCACCAGACGGAAGGATTCTATCTGTGGGAAATTAGCAGGGTAGCTTCGCTACCAACGGAAGAACACAGTAAAGAGAGAGAGCAAAATACTCTCGAATCTTTTCAGTCACCGTATTGGCTCAAAACTAGTAGAAGTGACTGGGAAAATATTCTGGCTCTGGATCTCTCTATCTCCAGGCCCTTCACAGAACTGGGCTTCCCACACTCACATCTGCTCAGAAGTACTAAAAGCACAGCCCAAAAAAAAAAATAACCGAAGCGCCGCCTGAATGATAATGATGTTTATCCCAATGGATGCTTAAAGACAGTATGTGTGATTCCTAGCAACTTAATTTTTTTAATTATTTCAAAATTTTGACGAATATTGTGTTCTATATACAATTTTGTTCCCATTCTTCCAAGCATAGAAGAGCAATTTGGGGGCCCAAAAAAAAAAAAACAAATCCTGACTTGTAAAATGAGGAGCTCCAACTTGCGAGTGTAAAATCTTAATTTAGTACTTCAAAATAGCTATTGTTTTTCAAATTCATCCCCGGAGATGAATAATTATTAATATGTTTACAAATTTACAAAGATTCCTCCAACAATTGAAAAATATTCATATTCACCGGACCATTAGTTTTCACGAAGGAATGTAACCGGTGTCTAGAAGACGAGAACAAAAGCCAACGGTGCATGTATTTGCACAACCAAGCAATACATAGAAGAGTTTTTTTCCAAAAAAAAAGAAAAAGAAAGGCATTCTTATCCCTTTATCAAGGTCTTCACCAGACCAGATTCTTATAATTTACACGAACAGACAATAAAATTCCGAAAGATTTTATTATTGAGCACAAAGCTTACTCCGGAAATGTTTGGTTTCACGCTGGAAACCACGTTTTGATAAATCAGTGAAACCAAGTGCTCAACAGCAAAACCAAACATTTAAGTTATAGAAACCGAAACATTGCTATGACTAGAACTGCCGAATAGCTGCAACAACTTCCGCAACTCCTTCAACCTTTCTTCTCTGCTAGAGAATCATCTTAGCAAAATCAGGCGCTCGACGTTCGCAGCTGGCTCGTTTCCTAGCATTACTGATGGATTCAAAATCTTCAACATGTGACACACCAACAATTATACAAACATGGAAGTTATACATCATAATGGTAAAAATAAGAATGTTTTTAGTGTCACCTTATCATTTTGGCTGAGCCAAATCCAAGAGTGTCATGAAACAGATCTGCCATGTATCTCTTCTTTGCAAGCAGCAGAACCTCAGCATTGTTATAATTTGATGGAAGATAGGCCTTGCCAGGACCCTTTCTATGCTCGTCCCAAAGTTTAATGAATCTATCATGAAAAAGATTCCAACAGTCTTCAATTGCCTTAAGAATCCACTCCTTATATGCCTGCATGAAATTCTGTGTTTAAATCCTTTTCTCCTTTAAATGATTAATGTGACTAATGCATGCAAAGTTGCATCATGTAATTTATCCCGTTATGCTATGACAATAAATTGAGTAAAAGAAAATTCCACCCTAGACATGGTGAGGATAACACAGTGGAAGAACATAAAAAACCAGTCAAGGAACAAATCAACGCAAGTTTCAATTAAGTCATGCTGCTAGTGCCGGCCTAAAAGAGCGTCAGTTATCTGAATCCACAAAAAAGAATACTCCTATGTCAAACCCTATTGGTCCATAAAATGCAAATTCTGCATCAATGACTTGAGTTGATTCCTGAGTAACCATGACAGAACCGGTCTGTAGATCTCAATGGATCAGTGCTTGGGTCCTCTCACAGAACCTACAGGAATATAACTTCTCATTAGAGCAGAAACTAAAGCAATATAACAGCTGCATGTAATGGAAAGTTTGTCCTAGTCATGATACTTGGATTTCAGCCCACCAACTTCAAGCGTCAGCAGACTTGTCTTCTCGAACGGCCTTAGCATCATGATCGAGATAAGAAGCAGTCCAGTGATTAAATTCAGAAACTCTAAGGGTCAGAGAAAACAACTAGAGCAGTATGCCTACACCACTCCACATTCCCACAAAATTTGGAAACTGCATTAAGACAATATGCATTTAAGCTTACAAGAAATGTATCAAGTCTTAATGGTCCATCTATAGTCAGTTATATCACCAATAACAGATTAAAAAACAATTATAATCTTATATTAACAAATGAGTTTTTTTTTTTGGGTACCACTTGTCTAACGCAAACTATGAGCAAAAGTAAATTTGTTAGTAAGCACAAATAAGCAATGTACACACAACTGAACAGTTAGACCCCGAGTTGCAGTATAACATTAGCCTACATGACCAATAAGGACTCAATCAACTTTTACGCGCAGTATCAGATATAAAAGAATCAGAACCAGGTAACTTTATGAGCACAGCTGCGACAGTTCTTCAAGTGCCAGAACCTCAAAATATGCTGTGTCCTTCGACGTGGGCCTTGATTCTTCTATACAACGAATATATGGAAGAGCCTGTACGGTTGCACAATTGGAGTGACTTCACTCTTTTTAGCATATTGTTTTCTTGCTCTTCGAGGAAAGCAATCAGCATAACTAATTGTCTACCAAAAGAACTTACTTCGTGAACTAACATCCAATTGGTTTTTTCCAGGTTCAAGCCGCAAACAGATAAATCATTAAGAGAGAACATATTACAGTGACTGTGATTCTAGGATGGAGAAAAAAATTTGGACCATTTCTCGATTTGTGCGTGTCATCCTTGCGCAGGGGCCATGCTAATCTTCTCTGTATCGTTCCAATTTTATCGGATGTCCCCGAAGGGACAAACCCCGACTTGTGGTTCGCGTATATAAACCATAGAGCTGAAGATGCTTGCACGATGTGGGACTCGTACTGAATCAACTCGACAGCTACAGGAAAATCGTGGCGTTGGGGAGGAATCTCTTTGTTGGAACCTCACACAGAGCAGTATCAACAAACACAGACTGAGCAAGGAGAGAGAGAAAAATATTCTGGAAGCCTCTCACTTGCAGTATTAGCTCAGGACCAGAGAAAAGTAAAAGTGAGAGCAGCGCTAATATCAATGCAGAGCATGGCATTCAGGTATGTGAAACGACATCCAGCTATAAGTGGGCTTAGACTCTGGATTTCTAACTCTAGGCCCATTCTCATCATCGGGCCTTTCGGATCATCCCTCCAAACAATAAAAGCCCGGCCAGAAATAAAGTTGGCATGCCTGAGTCGTGAGAGCTATCGTCACATTTTTCCTTTTTTTTTTTGACCAACATCACATTTTTCCATTTACTGTAGGAAATTTAGAAAATAAATCACTCCATGCATAATTTGTAAATATTGTAATTTTTTAGTTAATCAGCAGTTACATTCGTTCTTGAATCAAATACTTCCTTGGATGATCTGTTGCATCTCTCTCAAAGCACAGAGTTTGCCCAATGCAACATATAACTATATTGGCTGGTCATTGTGATTATTGTAAACAACAAATTTTGATATTGAAAATTTAAATTTAAATATTGATAAAATATTCTTAAATACTGATATATTAAATTTAATTTTTTTTAAATAATGATAACTTTCATAAAAAAATCATTATCTGGTACTAACAATTGAAAACCGCATTAAAAGGGTTAAAGAGCATCCAACACATAGAAATATTTTTTCAGATATATCCAGTATATCCAGATATTTTTTTAGATGCATCAACATCCTAAAGCATTTTTTTTACCTTGGTGCCAGATGCACCAAAAAATATTTTTAGATGCAGGACCGGGACATACTTAAAAAAGTACTTTAAGATGTTGGATGCACTAAAAAATACTCCACAGTGCCACAAGCACCTAAAAAATATTTCAAGATAATGGATGCATCACAAAATACTTTAAATTACTGAATGCATCTGAAAAAATATTTCAAGATATTGAATGCATCTTAGTCCTTTTAAAAATTTAAGAGACTAAACTAAAATTTTATATAAAATTAAAGGATTAAAAAACTGCACTTTCGTTATAAAAAAAAAAGTATATGAGTTACCAACAGGATTGAATTTAGCAGAAAAGACTAGTCCTTATAAGTAACAAACTAAGATTCAAGTTTTTGCGTGTTCATATTTAGTAGCTAATAATATCTCAAATAAAATTATCTTCAATAAGAAAAAATAGTGCATGGAATTGTCTCCAATGACAAACAAACGGCTAGCAGAGAAACGCGGAACTTGCCGGGATAAGATCCACTTTTTGAAAATATGCCATTTTCGACACATACCACTTTGCATAATTCTGTCTGGTCCTCCTATCATGCCTACAAACTAGTCCTTTTCAATACTGGCCAATTAAATTGCCCATTATTCGTAGTTTCCCTCGAATCATTTCGTCCATATTTTATCACATGTTATGGATCATGTCGTAATTGCGTTCTTGAAGACGTAGTGGAACATGTCGTAATTTCATATTGAATACTAAGCCGGCCTTATAAGATCCATGTTTTTAAATTTATATACTCCCTCTGGACTCTAATCCTGCTATAAAAATTAGTTGAATGTTAAATTTATTCTAAATATAATATCCTAATATATTTTATTTCTTATTTTTATTTTTTTTGCATATTAAATAATCTAATTTATAGGCTGACATATATAAAATATAATGTTATAGAATGGTGTTTTAGAAAGTTCATATTATATTTATTATAATTAACTAATTTATCTCGTTTTTTTATTTATCTAAATAATTTTTATGTTAGATATGAGAGGGGGTAAAAAGTATTTCCAATGCTTTAGCAACCTTCGGCTTGAATACAAACTATGAGTAGGGGTAGAAATAGGCTAAACAGCCTGTCAAGACCTGTGACCTGGCTTGTATTTGGCCTAACTTGTTTCAAAATAGAAGAAGACTTAAACCTTTTTGATGGCCTGTTTAGCGTAATAGGCAAGGCCAAGATTTTTTGAAAACCTATTAAGCCTATCACGCCTTTTTTTTTAATCTTATTTTTAATTTTTATTTTGTACTTCTATCTAGTCTTATTTTAAATTTTAATATATAATTATAAATTTTTTCAGTAATATTAACTATAATTAAGATTTAAAATATTACTTATGACATTAAAATTTAAATAAAAGATGATAATAAAAAAATAATTATTATGCAGTATGTGTATTTTACATTCTTTATTAGCCTATGTATTTTTTACTATATATTTTGAAAATTTTAAAATTACAAACTTTTTTACAGATCCAAGCCAGGCCAGGCCTTTATACAGGTCAGGCTCATGTTGAAAAAAAAATACTTATTACAGGTCACAGGCCAGGCTCAGGCTAACACGTTACTAAATAGCTTGTTAAAGACAAAGTCTGGACTGTTTCCACTCCTAACTATGAGTATCAATATATGCTAGAGTACTTTAAACTTTGCTTTTTATTATATTTATATATTATCTTTTTATTAAGAAAAAGAGTAAAATATTATTTTGGCTCCATGTAAAAACAAAAAATTAAAGGAGTGCATTTCTCGATTTAATGATCTTCAGCAAAATCATTTTCTATGTTTGATCTTCTATTAAAGTGTTTTTCAATTTTGTTGCTCGAGACTATGTTTTTAATGAGTTCCATTTAAAAAAAAAAAGAAATAAGTGGGGTTATAAAATTTTAATAGAGAAAAAAATGCAGAAAGAAAGAATAAAAAATTAATTAACAACTTTCAGTGCTACTTCTCTCATTTTTTGAAAAATCAAAGTTATTAAAATCTCCCGCGAGTTTGCAATATTTTACTCTCACTAGATTTATTTCTAAATATGTAAGATATCATACATGCTCCAAGAATGAAGAGGTGCATATATTTTGGTGAAAATTATTTCAAGTTGAAATTAAAATTTTAAATGAAGGTCCGTGTTTTAATAATTTTGCTTAAGAATAACTAAAAGAAATTTAAATCTAAAATGGGCAATCCTTGTGAGAAAACCAAGACAGCAATTAACATTTAACAACATGCATGCATGTCATATTTCCATTACAAACGGTCATCGGCATCCACACATTTATTACACACCCAAATGATGGTATACATATACATATACATATATCATCTTATCTTATTCCTTATTTAGACAAACACGCCCTTATATTAAGCTGTTTATTGCAGATCAACACTTCCTAATTGCCGTATTTGGCTTTGTAGTCATTCCACAGCTGATCCACAGGCTTCCCAAGGATCTGCATGAAGTAATCGTCTGGGATCTGCATGAAGTAATCGTCACTGTAACCAGTCTTCATCTTCTTGTTCAGTTCTGCCACAAACCCATTTCTCAGACTGTTACAGTAATCCAGAAAATAAGCAGTAACGTCATTGCCATGGTCCCACTTATCTCCCTGACCTGGCTTCACCCAATTGCTTGGTGCATAGCCAGCTTTGAGCCTCACATAATCAGCAATCCCTTCGACCAGCCCTCCATTAGCCTGGCCATTACCATTCCACTGCCAAATATGAGTCATCTCATGATACAGCAAACCAGTGACTTCTCTTCTCACATCTCCTGAGTAGCTTCCAACGTATCTTGAACTTAGATGAATCTCATTATTGACAGAATATGCCACCCCATCTTTGTCTTCCAAGATGAAGTTCACTTTCTGCACGTTCTTTCTGTCCGCAGCAGAATCTTGTTGGAAGATCCTCCATATGAACTGAGCTGCAGAATCCATTGTTTGCGTGGCATAGGTTTCACCTATTTTGTGACGAAAGAGAATGCCACCACTGGTTGCAACATTGTTGGTGATAGCATATTCCACTGCTTGGGTGGCTCTGATGGCTAACAGAATTAAGAGTACACAAGAGAAGAGAGGGATGATGCGTTTAGCCATGGCTGTGTTTGGAGCCAGCTCTGATCTTGTACTTTGGTGATTAGAGAAAGAGCTAAGCTGGGGTATTTATAGGGGAACGTCTGAGGAATAATACCTACAACTTGCATCCTTATCATCTTAGAATAATGTAGTAGGCATCTGAGTCACCATCTACTAGTGACAATATAGCACAAAATCGAAGATTTTCATTCATCTCTTTCTGGACACGGGAGCCACAAGGTAGAGAAGTAAAACTATAAATAATCTTTGAATAATATAGTAGGCATCTGAGTCATCATCTACTAGTTACGGGAGGACAAAAACTATAGTATATCAGTATCTACAAGATTTGCCATATTATCTTTGATTTATCAAAAATGCGATGATGGATATTCCATGCAAAACCAGAGAAGGAGAATTAGGGATACCTTCTTATTCCATGCAAAACCAGAGAAGGAGAATTAGGGAAAAGACTTTGGAATGTTGCTTGATTTCACATGAAGATGATTCCTTATAAAAATGCATTTTTGGAATGCGTCTCAGGTTCAATCTCATGAAAATCCTACTCCTTGATAATCAGATTCTACCTCGTAAACACTTCCATAAAACTTAAGCTTTAATTATATATACCAGAAGAGTAACAAAGCTGTAAAAAGTTGCAAGGGTTCACATGTGAGAGTAAATCCTTAATAGATGATTATGGAAATTATACGGAACACTAAAGCCAAAATTGTGTCAAATAAGATTTCCAACAATTTGAGTAGTCTCACCTTATAATTTCAGCAACAACAAACCCAAGAGAATCATGAAACAAATCTATCACGCATCTCTTCATTACAAGCAGCTCAACCTCAGGATTGTCATAGATTGCAGGAAGATAAACCTCCCCAGGACCCTTTATATGCTTGTCCCAAAGAGCAATGAACTTAAATAGTTTTTTCAAAAAATCCATGTTTGCTCGTTGTTCCAAGAAGGCACTCCTTATATGCCTGCAGGACATGGTGTGCTTAGAATCAATTGTCTAAGACTTTACGCATCTCATATAGTACAATGTTATCACCTCTTCAATTTAAACACCCAGAGTTTCTTGACAACAAAAGTAGTGACTCATTGGATAATGAAGCACATCACGCCCAAGACAGAAATTGCACAGGATAATTATTAGATGTTTACATTCTTGAATTGTCCATTTCAACCAACCATTTCTAGAACATTTATCTGCTAATATACTTCTGCAAAGAAAACTACTTTGAGACTTAAAAAAGGGGGAAACAAGAAACTATACGGCAAGTGTATAGTATCCAGGAAAGAATGTAACCGGTGACTGAAAGTAAAGATTATGCTGATATTCGTGCAACCAAGCAATCCACCGCAAAGTGAAAACAATAAAGATTCTGATCACTTCACCAATATCCTCACCAACTAGATTCTTGCGTTCACATGAACAGAAAATAAAAATATAAAGGATGCTAGTATAAAACCTTGCTATGCCTAGATTTCAGGCTTTCTATATTCATGGGGGGAAAAAAGAAAGTTCTTTAAGATAAACTTTAAATGATACAAACATGGGAGATACATATATACATATATAATATCATTGTGGTGAAAATAAGAATCTCTGATCTTTAGCTCTATTTGGCAGAACCAGATCCAAGAGTGTCATGAAACAGATCTGCCACGTATCACTTCTGCACATGACGCTGAACCTCAGGATTGTTAAAACTTGATGGAAGATAGGCCTTCACCGGTACCCTTTATATGATTTCACCAGAGTGCAATGAATTTCTAGCGGAAATAATTCCAAGTGTCTTCAATTGTCTTAAAAATCCACTCCTTATAGCCTACAATATAGTGTGTCAAGACATCCTTCAATGATAGGTACATCCTAGGGCTGCACAATGGAAAGACTGGACCAAACCAGACCCAACGCAAAGTCTGGTCTGATTTTTGATTGGGTTAGGTTTGGTAGTCTGTGGTCTGTTCCAGTCCAGTGGTCACCCGATGTTGGGTTGGACTGGACTTGGTCCACTAAACTAGTAGACTGGTCTAGGCAGTCCAGGTTTTCCAATTTTCTTTTTTTTTTTTTTTCAAATTTTTTTCTTTATAGGAAGCAAGATTTCAACATGATAAATATAATTTAAGACAATAAAAATACATATAATGATATAAAACTTAAGACTTCATCATATATACATAAAAATCTCTAAAAACATTAAAATAAATTAAAGGTAACATCTAAATTATAAATTATTAAAAAATAAAAAATTCAACTCAACTGGACAGGACCAGTCCATCGATCACTTGGTCCAAAATCCAATCCAACCCGACCAACTAGTCTGGTCTAGTCTAGTCTAATTTTATTATATAGTTTATTTGGATTTGATTGGACCGGACCACTTCGGGTTGGATTGGACTGAACCGGACCATAGGTTTTTGCACACCCCTAGTACATGCCACGTTTCATTATGCCATACACTCTGATATGCAATGGCAATAACTTGACTAAAAGGAAATTTCTTGCCTCATAAAGGTGAAGATAACACAATGAATGAACACAACAGGGCAAGTCAGAAAAGAAGTCAAAGTGAGTTGCCACCAATTCATGTTGCTGGAGCTGGATTGGAAGAGTTCACAGTTATTGAAGCCAAGAAAATACACTGATCCTGAACCTGATATTAAAAAATAAATACCCAGGATTATTGTAAGTTCCCACAAACCCAGAACGAATATCAAAGTAAGAGCACCGATTTATTTGTCAAAAGCTCTGGTAATTTATTGGAATTAACATTGTCTATGAAAATCACCAACGATATGATCGTTTTCCGCATTTATCGAAAGCAGTTCCTCAGGAAAACTTGAGTGAGTTAGTTGGAGGGGAGAAACTTGAAATCGGAACGAGGGAGAAAAATTTGGACCATTTCTCGATTTGTTCGTGTCATCTTGCGCAGGGGCCATGCTAATCTTCTCTGTATCGTTCCAATTTTATCGGATGTCCCGAAGGGATGAGCCGCGGCCTCTGCTTCGCATATATAAACAAAGAGCTGTTAGAGGTTTGCATGATGTGGGACTCGTACTGAAGCGACTTAGGTAGGCAAAAGTCGCGCCCAACGTCACTAGACGGAAGGCTAATATTCATGGGAACCTTTCAGAGTAGCATTACTATCAACGAAAGCATAGATAAAGTAAAGAGAAAGACGAGAGTATTGTCGAAACTTTTCCGTCACTGTATGAGGAAAATATTTTGACCGTGAAGCCCTCCATCTCAAGGCCCTTCACGTAATTGGACTTCCATACTCAAATCTGCCTAGGATGAAAATAGGCCAGACAGCCTGTTAGGAACCTGTAGCCTAGTTTGTATTTGGCCTGGTTTGGTCTGACCTATTTTTAAATAGAAAAAGAGTGAGGTCTTTTTTATTGCCTGTTTAGCCTAATAGGCCAGCTGGCCAGGCCTAGGCTTTTTGAAAAACCTGTTAGGCCTGTCAGGCCTGGCCTAACCTATTTTTTATCTTATTTTTAATTTTTATTTGTATTTATATCTAATTTTATTTAAATTTTGATATATAATTATAACTTGTTTTTAATATTTAATTATAATTAAGATTTAATATTACTCATGACATTAAAATTTAAATAAAAGATAATAATAAAAAATTATTATTATGTCGTATGTATATTTTACATTTTTATTGGCCTATGTATTTTGTACTATGTATTTTGAAAATTTTAAAATCACAGGCTTTTTTATTAGGCTAGACCAGGCTTTTATACAAGCCAGGCTCAGGCTAAAAAAAAAGACCTATTACAAGTCACAATACAGGATCAAGTCAGGAAAAAAAAAAAAAACCTATTACAAACAGGCCAGGCTCAGGCCAGCATGTTACTAAACACGGCCTGGCCTGTTAAGGACAAAGCCTGGTCTGGCCTGACCTGTTTTCACTCCTGATCTGCTAACAAAAACTTTTTCTTTTTTCTTTTTTTTTCCTGAAGAACTACAAACAAGTACTTCAAACAATAAAAAAGCAAGCCAAAAACCTACAAGAGAAGAAGCTAGTCCCATAACATGATAAACCAATATTCAAAATCCTGCTAAAAGATATGCTTATTTAATGTCCCACGGTATCTCAAAATAAAAGAATATATGTGCCTGTGAAATGAAAAAAAAAAAAAAAAGGCACACCCAGAAAGCTGAAGAAGCATTATCCCGACACACACCCACCCGCATCTTCAAAAGTTTTTACAGCGACTTTCAGATTTTTACAATACCATTTCACATTGAGGACTAGAAGTGGAAATGTTTTCCTAATGCCTTGCCTCATGTGGTTCTGTGTTCAAGTCTGCTGGTGTCGTTTTTCACAAAATCGCGTGTGAAAAGTCACCTTTCCGCAGTATAGAGAGGGGGGGGGAGGGGGAATCCTTGCAGAGTCAAGTTTTTGAGGTAACAGCATGAACCTGCCTAGCTCCCCGTGAATTTGACGAGTATGCATACTTTTGTTCACTATACTAGCTCATGTTTAGGTTTCATCCCATAGGCACCAATAAAGAAGAGTTGCAAGTTTTTTTTCCTCTAAAAATTCATTTTGTTTTTTTAATTTATCCATTTTTCATTAAAATTCTTTAAAAAAATTACAGAATTTGAAATAGAAATTGGCAATTCTTCCACATCGCTCCATATTCCACATGCAAACGATTATGTGCACATATCATCTTGACTATAGAAGGTCTTCTACCTAACAGAACTTCCTAATTGCCGTATTTGGTATTCTAGTCTTTCCACAGGTTTCCCAAGAAACTGCTCAAAGAAGTCGCCACTATAACCACTTCTCATCATCCTCTTGTTCAGTTCTGTCACAGATTCATTTCTCAAGTTATTAAACTAGTCCACGGTTTCCACTTATTCCCTGACCTGGCTTTAACCACGGGCTAAGTGCATAACCCTCCTTTCAGCCACACATAATCAGCAGCAGTCCCTTTGATCCTCCACTGCTACATATGGTCATCTCATGATACAGCACACAAGTCTCCGCTCTTCTCAAGATTCTTGTTGGGAGGATTACGTGAAAAGATACTATTATTGAGTACAAAACTTATTGCAGTACATGTCAATGGAATACATGATGGGATGTGCACTGATATATCTGACGGCATAATTAGGAAACAAATCCCTCAGTATGAAACAGCAAAATTTGTATTCTCTTGTAAATAATATTGACGGTCAACAACGTCATGCAGTTCATGGGAGATTTGATTATAGGAAGACTCAGTATTCCATCTAGGTATAGATAGCTAAACCTCGCCCCTGACCCCAGGACTAAATTTGGCGAATTGCTGAAATAACTTCAGTGATCCCTTCAAAACGTCCTTCTTTCCTTGAGAATCGACTTTGCTAATTGAGTGCCCGGCGTTCACATGTGGCTCGTTTACTAGCATCAGTAATGGATTCAAAATCCTCAACATGGGCCACCCCAACAATTCTCCTGCCAATCAAATAATTAAGGAGAAAGCTTAAACAAGGATTTCCAAGTACAGTATACACCCATTTCACGTTATTCACGACATACTTTCTCAATAATATCAAGTACCACTATAGACTTTAAATCTACCACGAGACTGAAATCTATAGCTTGTTTAATGTGAATCTATAGCACTTGCCTTTTGGAAAATCACTTAAGGCTGTTGTTCGCCTATTTATGTGTAAGGCAGTGCAAGCCATAGCAAAGCTATATAAGGTTGCAATGCTACACACTGATGCAGCGTCAAAAGTCATAGCGTCGAACTACAAGCTACGGTGAGCTATTAATAACTATGAATAGTGTGAAAATGTGAGCTACTCAATTAAACTAGCACCATTTTGATGCTTGAAAGTATTTGCCTGTATGCGTTCGTGTGCTGCTAAAAATCTTGCAATGGAACCGAGGATGAGAATACACAGAACTCGCATAACATGATTATAAAAATAACATCATCATGATAAAAATACAAGTCTTTGAAGCAGTCTCACCTTATCATTTTGGCAGCACCAAATCCTAGAGAATCATGAAACAAATCCATCATGTATTTCTTCTGTAACAAGCAGCTGAACCTCAGGATTGTCATAGATTGCAGGAAGATATGCCTCACCAGGACCGGTTTTATGCTTGTCCCAGTTAGCAATGAATTTATAGTGAAAAAGATTCCAAGTTTCCTCAATTGTCTTGAGAATCCACTCCTTGTATGCCTGCATGACATGTGGTGTTTAGGATCAATTGTCCATGACTTCATAGATTCAACATGGTAATAATTTTGTCACTTCAATTTAAACACCTACTGTTCCCTTCTCTTGACCACAATTAGATTCATTTCGTGACAAAGCACCATTTATTACATGAGATAGAAAAATGCAAGGGCGTACAAATCTATAACTATCCAAGAAGGCAGCAGATTTGGGAAACATAGATGGTTCAACTGCTTGAATGCTTTAAGGGTTCCCAAATGATATCACACATATTACATGGATTTTCATGGGCTAACACGAAATGTAGCACACTTTACATGAAATTTAAATAGATTCAGTCAGTTTGGCAACAGATATGAAAGCAAGTAGTCAATTAATATAAAAGGGGGCAAAAAATCTAAGCTTAATATGAAAGCAAAGCTCATAACAACTGAAGAGTCATTCAAAGCCTTATTAGATTAATCATACGCACAACATCAGGAACTCAAGTCATGAATATCAACATTAACAAAATTTGCCAGTCTATGGTTCGTCCGAATGCAAAGGAGACCATAAGAGTAGAAAATCCTACGTCATTTGGTTCAAATATAGCCTCAGCGGGAATCACTATGCAAAA